GCGATCGCAATACATAACCATCCGGACCATGGCTAATGGTAGTATTTAGCCACCCTTGGCGATTCAGGTTCTTTTGACGAATCACTAAGCGTAATTGGTTGATTAAAGCTTGCATTCCGAGCCAGGTGTCTCAAAGCTCATTATTGCTCGAGGAAGATCTTCTTATTTAAAATGTGAAAGTGTAATGTCATGCCGTTCGAGGACTGCTTTCTTAATGGGTAAGCATTAACATACCGAAGCAAAGTTGGGGCCACTGGTAATCGGTAAATGGCAATTTATGCAACTCAAGGAACAAATGAAAAAGAAAGCCATTCGTCATCTCACAGGTCAAAACTCTCCCAAGAAAGTGGAAAGGGGCACAAGGAGGCCCTCTTTTTCGAGTTTTGGGACACTTCCATATCCCTTCCTATGGTCACCAGTTTTTCCCAAGACAGTTTTTAAACAGCAGAAGGAAAATCGTTATTCAAAGCCAAACATCTGTAGCACTTTTACTTTTAGATCCTTTGGCTAATTTTTTAAAACGAAATATGGTTGGTCCTAGTCCTACCATCTCAAGATAAAAGCATCTTTTTCTCCTTGCTTCTCCAATCCGCTTCCAAGTTTTATTTATTTGGCACTAAGGCAACAATCATTTCCCCACCCCTATCATTACTTCGCTGATAAGGGTTTCTTTTCTTAGTAATTCTGTTAAAATGCTTTCCCTTCCACCCCCACCACCACCACCACCACCATGTACACCACCATCCCAGCAGCAAGCAGCTGCTTCTCCTCTGAAACAGATTATTATTACCTCAAAGGATTCCATGGATCAACATCTTTTCCCATCAGAGCTGCCACATAGCTGCAAGAGACAACTGGGAGGCTACTCTAAACTCCAGAGACCATGCAGGACCAATCCCCTCATCTGGTGCGGATCAATCTTTTGCTTGATATTCAGCCTTCTCCTCATCTTCTTTGGCATTGCGACTCTGATCATCTTCCTTGCCATAAAACCAAGAATTCCTTTGTTTGACACCCCCTCTGCAAGCCTTAAAGTGGTCTACATGGACTCTCCTCAGTTTCTAAACAGTGATTTTACATTTACAGCCAACTTCTCCAACCCAAACCCAAAACTTGATATCAGTTTTGACTATTTAAGCATTGAGCTGTACTCTTTTGACACTCGGATTGCAGCTCAAGCTCTTCAACCTTTCACTCAAAGACGAAAAGAAACACGGTTAGTTGCTGTTCAAATGATATCAAGCCTGGTTTATATGCCACCCACTCATGCTTTTGAACTTCTAAGGCAAGTGCAGAACAACAGGGTTGTGTATCATATCAGAGGAACTTTCAGAGTAAGGTTTAGTCTAGGTGTAATTCACTTTTCGTATTGGCTGCATGCTACATGCCAGCTAGAGCTCACAAGCCCACCAACAGGCGTTCTTGTAGCTCACAGTTGCAGTACCAAAAAATGACAAGACACGAGTCTGTCCTTTTGTATCAGCTCCTTGTGTCTTCCCATCACAGATGATGTACATCCACTCTGCATACCACTATTACAGGTAGAAGAATTTTCTATGGGTTGTAATTGTGAACATCCAGTCAGCTTCTTGTTTCTTTACATCATAGATGATGCACATCCCTTCTGCATACCACTATTACAAGTAGAGGAATTTTCTATGGGTTGCACTAATGTATAATCACAGCTCTGGATGTAGAAAGTGGGCTCGATTGAATCTGATGGCTTGCATCATTACATGTAAGTTTATTGCAATTAAGCACTTGAAACCAAATAAATAAAGCACACAAATAAAATGCAAAATGTCGATTAAAGAGAACCAGGTAAGTCATTAAATGAGCATCGCGTGGCTAATGAAAGAAATTGGCCTTTCTGTTTTGCTGGTTTTAGCACAAGTAGATCTTCAACTGTCCAAATGTAAGCATCCTGGTCAATATCCCTTGGCAAAATGATTGAAACCCAATTCTTCCACACTGCAAAGACCCTCATTGTTCTTGTGTGCTGCCACTGTGACTCCAACAATTAGGATCCTTGATTTAGATAGCTGTATTTGTTAGAGAGTTTTTGATCCAATCAGCTTATTCTAATTGTCAGACTTATTTTTCTTGAAATCTTCATGGTTATAGCACTTGTACTAACTAGCTGAAAGGCAGTGCAGAGAACAAAAAAGAATCACAGAAGTTTTTCTTATTCAATTCAACAATAGAAGATTCTAACTTTTATACGAGATCCAGCTTTTGATTTAAAACTCCTAGTAGAAGAGATCATTATTTTCTAAGACATATTGTCGGCAAAAGTCATTACTGATACGTCAAGTTGTCCAATGAAAGGGAAGCCCTAACATTTGATAAATATAGATAAAAGCAAATATAAAAACCAGGAAGATGCGGCCTTATTTGTATTGGTCACATTTGGTTACACTAAGCCGCAAGGAAATATAAAAGCCAGGATGATGAGGCCCTATTTGTATTGGTCACATTGGTTACACCAAGCCGCAAGGAAATTCAAGGGTGGACAAGAAATTTAAACAATAGCAAGATAAATTAGCTACTTCTGCATCTCCTAATGCTATGACGCTGACAGATTTACACAACCATGCCAGATCATATTACTAAAGGAACTCCTCAGTCAAAATTCATTGATTAGGAGATGGAGGGCAGGGTCACATTTGGCGGAGAAGATGGAAGACAACAATCACTTACAATGACCAGATGTCCCAATATCTCATATTCTTAGCACAAATGTGAAACCAAATTTCAAATGGAAAGACGATTTGGAAAAATTACAGTAAATGTAACCCTTTCATTGTTCGTACACACTGATTGCCTGACTCATAAAGTGTTCATGACTTAACACATTTTCCTCAACTGCCAACAACAGTAAGCTATCATCCAACAATGTCCACAACAACACCATCCCCAACATATTTGTGTGTTATTTCGGAAAATACAAGATGAAAATAGAATTATTGCTAGGAAAAATGTCTAAAATCAGGGACTATTACCAAGTTAAAGAAACTTAAAGAAAAAAACAAAATAATTTAATGTATACTCAATAGCCAGCAACTATACATTCTTAGCCAATAAAAATAAGCAACGCAGTGGTTATCAGAGGAATAGCCTGAAAGAATGCCAGCATACTGTCTAAATAGGGTCAACCAGATGCTGGCAATGATAATATTTACTCCAAATTCCATCTGTTTTAGATTTTTCATGACAACCCCACATTAAGCAAAATCCAAAGACCACTCTATATGGGCACTATGCCTCATTCTAAAGGTATCAATCTCACATTCGCGCTTCCTCTATCATCAGCTAAACAGCATGTCATAACCAGGTTGAACACAAAGCATACTGAAAAGATGATCATCTTCCAAATGCTGGTAAAATATGAACCTAAGTTCTTGAGAATGCTAGAAAAGTCAAAGTGGCATGTATACTTCCAAAAGCAGAAGATTGAACTTTATTTGGAAAACAAGTAATAGAAGGAAGCATAAGACTGAAACAGGAGGCATTGAAGTATCGTCTAATATAACTTTTATTCTGTACTCTCAAACAGCGTTGTTAAATTCTTATAACTCTCCTCACATTTCTGAAGGACTATAAGCTCGATGGTATCAACAGTCTAAAGCATCAGCATAGCTTAAAGCAATGAAAAACAAACAGGAATGGAGAAGTGAAAAAAAAAGTACAAAACCTCATTCAACCCCAATGGTTTAGCTACTACTAACTTCAGATGGTGTCTTTGCTACAATAGACAAAGCGTGCAGTCCACTTTGCAACTCATCTTGCAACAAACCATATATCAATCTGTGCCTTTTAACCAAACTTTTACCTTCAAACTCCTCCGACACCACCTTGACGTTAAAATGTGTCTCCCCATCACTGCCCTTAACCCCAGCATGCCCAGCATGCTGATAAGATATATCTTCAACTTCCAATTCTACAGGCTTCAGCTCACTAACTAACTTCGCCTTGATCCTCATCCCCCTACTCCCCAATGCACCACCATTACCAGAATCCAATTTCAAATCAGTAACATCTTCTTCAGAACTCACTCCACTCTTTACATCCCCATTTCCACCGTCATTGTTTAATCCCGAATTTGACATCGAGCTTTCATCCGGGCTTTCAGATAACTGACCAACCGAATCTTCCGCCTTTTGAGCTTCCAAATACAATTGCAAGGCCTTCTTCTGCATTAATTTCAACATATTCAAAAACCCATTATTCCTAGAAGGTGTAAGACTCTGCTGCAACCCAAGAAGCACCGCAAAATCAGGTGTAACTCTCAAAATCTCCTCCACAGGACGGCCTGAAAGGCCTTGAACAAGCAAAGCAGCTAAGCCTTTGGTAAGAACTGAATCAGAATCAGCCTCAAAGACTACATTTTTATCCGAATCAAGGTATGCTCTGACCCATACCTGCGAAACGCAGCCTTGTACTTTGTTCTCACTGGTCTTAAACCGACCATCCAAAGGCCTTAAATTTCTTCCATAAAACAAGAGCTGCTCATACTTGGCCTTTGGTTCTTCAACGGCCTGGAAAAGTTTGATGATTTCTTGGAGCTTCGGGGGCAGCTCTTCAATGGGTTGGAGAGTGGCCGCTGGGGAAGCTGATGGTGTTGAAAATATTGGCTTTGTGGGTATTCTTTGAATTGTAATAGGCCTAGAGAAGAAAAGATTTGCGGGTTCTGAGTGCAAAGATGCAATCTTGGGGGTTTCAGAGTCTGGTGAATAGCGTGGGCGGCGCGCGAGCAAATGTGGGTTTTTAGTGGAGAATAAGCGAAAAGAAGGGGAAATTGACATTGGTTTTTCGATTTGGGAACAGAAAAGAGGGACAGGGATTGGAATTCGCAAACTAAGATTTTGAAGGGAAGCTTTGGGGTTGAAGAGAGGAAAGGGAGGAGACGAGCTGAGGGCTTGAATTGTTGTTCTTGCTCTCATGTGATGTCCCAGCAGATGGAAATACAAAAGAAGAAGATTCAATGTTAATTTAAAAAAAAAAAAAAACAGTTCCTGAAGACATGATTCCCTGGGCAAGAGATATGTCAGTTATGTGGTGTTCTTCTATCATGTTGACATTTAGTTAGCTAAAACATGCACTCACGTGAGAAAAAACAAAGACTAGATCAACTCCGATGTTTAGCTCACATGTTAATATTGTCTTAATTAAATAAATCCAACAACAACAATCATAGAGAGCCAGAGAACACAATTATATGAAACACATTTAATAAAGACAATACAAATGCAGATAAAGTATGATGTTGAAGAAATAGACAAGTGCAGATAAAGTGGTCTCGGAAGCACAATAGGAAAGTGATTAAACAGAGTGAGAGACCTCATTGCTAACGAGAAATTTCTTGGAAGTGCAATCAAAAGATCCAAACTTTTCATTCCAGGGTGCAACAAAGCCTCTCGATTCCCAGTCCTGAACAAGACCCACGACCTCAGGATTGGTGACAGTGAAGTAAGGAGCACCATGGTCGAATAATAGCTCCCTCCCATCTTCGGCCGTTTCTCTATCGGGTGTTGAGAATTGACCCATCACCCAAAAAAAAAAAAAAACACTTTTGTTTTATGTGAAGTAAAACATTATTTGCTAATGGAAAGCAATGGACGGTGGTAAGAAAGAAATATATATATATATATATATATATATATATATATATATATATAATTCCACCTTCTTTGAGACATTCGGCCACCTGGACCTCTACAGACTCGAAAATGGTGACTGAAATTCCATTCTTGGCCAGCGCCGATGCACATACCGCACCTGAGACTGCAAGACATCTATCCACTTACTTCTGAATTCAACAATTATTATACTAATTCAATGCAAATTAGTAGTGCAAAAAAAAAAAAGAGAAATGTTTTATCGGTTAGTAGCGTAGTAGGCTAGTGATTTCAATATGGAAGAGAGGAGGGGAGATGCCTACTTCCGCTTCCGATGACAGCAACCTTGGTAGCGACACTGGGACTAGTGGTCATGACGGCAAGCGAGGAGCCGGTGCTGTTCCAGTTACAAGAGGATAGTAGCAGCCTCTTCTACACCCACGTGTCTACTTATACACCTTAATACACTCACTCACATCTTAAAAGCAAATTTATTATGAGGATTGAGTGTACTTGGACAGTAAATTATTTGATTAGTTTCTGATAAAAGTACTATAATGTATAGTTTTTTTAATGTGATATATTGAAGATTAGGGGAGTACCGTGCATCGCACGAGTGTTTAGTCACTATGGTTAGAGATATTTTTTATTGAATAAATAATAATACATTCCGAAAAAAAATAGTCATCAAATATGACAAAACTAATGATAGTACATTTTAATTGCAGCACCCAATCATACACTTTATTTTATCAATATTTTTACAATTTCTAAAAACTCTTACTGATGTCAGTTGAAAATTACCCAAGAGCAGACATAAGTTGTTTGAAATAAATGAATATCCTTCAATGGCTAGTTATAACAACGTGTTAATAAGTTTTGTGTTAATTGCACAATAAAAGCCACATTTCAATTAAATGTGTCTATAACACCATTTCAATAATTATACTAATACATAAATTTATATAAGTTATACTTGATGTAAAAATAGTTGCAAAATAATTTCATATTTCAGAAACATCCAAATGTTTCTATAATCAAAACTTTTAAATGTACCAAAATTAGGGTATTTCGATAAATATACCTAAACACATACTGCTCTCAATTGTACAAAAAGTTAAAAAAAATACACAATATTCTACATTCTCAAAAAATTTTTATCTATGCGGTTGAAATTCAAATTCATTTCGGCCACAACTCATTCTTATATAATATAAAGGTAAGAAAATAGTTTCAAAAATTGTGTTGATACTGTAATCAAAATTAATTTTGACAAACAAATCCACTATCGTCCACGTCTCTTATTTTGTTTCCCCTTTATTTCTGGGATCATCTACTTGACACCTTGAAAAAGGCACCTCTTGGTGGTGTTCGTAATAGTGATATATGTATATTGACTTCCTTCTCTTGCTATTTGTTTCCTGTACATATATAAAAAGCACTTTGCAGTTGACGGTTAACAAATTTTCATCTGTCCAATGGAGGGGTATATTTGGATGTAGAAAAGTATAATGCAAATGATGAAGCGCAAAGTACAATATTGTTATGCTTGCTTCCATAGTTGTTGACTATAGTACCCTTTCAAGTGGGATTGTTGCAAACTGTTGGGAAATTTGCATGTGCTGTGTCTAGGGGTAATTTGGGGCCAGGAAACGTACGATGAAAATGATTTAGCGACGAGTACAATGGTGTAATGCCTCCTCCAGCAGTGTTTCCCTATATTACCCTTGGCAGTGTTTCTCTATCCATTAAGTTTGTCATTAAATACAAATACATGAAAGAAGTTCGATTGATGAGAAACTAGGCGGAACAAAAGACATGCAATTCAATTTGAATAGAGAATGGGAAGAACTCAAATGATAATTTAGCTTTATTTAAGAGAGTTTTAATGCGTATTAGATGAAAAATCATTCATGCAACTCATTAAGATTGTAAATGTAGCACCTTTCCTCTTCTTTTGCAGTTCATGGAATTTTAGATGATGGAACGAAACTAATGTCAAGAGTGTAGTTATTAAAGTCACTAATTGATTTATCTTAAAGAGAGTTTTAGTCTGGATTAGGTGAAGAATCATTTCTATTCAGTTACCAGAATAATTGCAATGCCTTTGAGCTTCCTGCAATAATGGAGGCTTTGGGTATTGATGCAGGTGTTTGTATTCCGTATCTTTTTAAAGGTGTTTGCCTAGGTTTCTTTATTCTTTGTGTCTTTTTTTTTTAACTTTTTTTGTATTCAACTGGTTCATTAGATACTGTAAAATTTCTACTGCAATTTTTCTCTTTAGCTATTATATGAATTTGAGAATTTCATTATGAAGGAGATAATACCTCTGAACATTAAAAATCTGATTTTTTTTCTAACTGTTCTTGAAAATCTGATTTTCTTAGGTGTAGGTGGTTGAATTGTGAGGAAAAGTTATTTGTATACTGGAACTTTGACTTGAAGGTACGATTTAAATCTTCACTCACAATTGGCATGTACGAATTGTTGACTCTCATTTTGATATTAATTCTCATACTGGTGTAGGTTTGAATCTATATACTTAGCTTTAAATATCATTTGCACAAAAAGGCTTGAACCGTGTTGAGATTTAAGCTTTAGTAGATGAGTTTAGCAGAGACTATTTCACTATTTATTAAATGGTTGTTTCTCTATTCATTGTGCAGAATATCAATATCTCGTTTGCTGCATACAAGATGATTAATGAGATACATATGTTGTGATTTGCATATATGGCTTATATGCCTGTCCCTTAGTTATTGTTATTACTGGATTAGTGCAGTTGACAAAGTTAGCGATTTGCTTGTTTGGTTTCTCTCTATTTATTTGACCTTGCATTTGTTCATTGGAATTATTGTTGCTTAGAGATTGTTTAAACTCCAGGACCATCAGGTAGTTGTTTTAGTTATGATAGCAGATTTAAAAGTTACCTTAATTCCATCAAATTTTAGAATGGATAGATGTAACGATAAACTAAATGTTAAAAATTAACTTTGAAACGATAGAGGAAAAAAGATATATGCATAATTATCTATTGAACAAAGAAAAAAATCCATGAGAAATAACGTCAAACTTATAATAAGAGAACCATTAGGTAGTTGTTTTAGTTATGATAGCAGATTTAAAAGTTATCTTAATTGCATCAAATTTTAGAATGGATAGATGTAACGATAAACTGAATGCTAAAAATTAACTTTTAAATGAGAGAGGAAAAAAAGATGTATGCATCATTATGTATTGAACAAAAAGAAAAAAATCCATGAGAAATAACGTCAAGCTTATGATAAGTATAAAAAGGTAAAAAAACCACTAGATCTGCTTTTCAAACCGTCATAAAAATAATGGTAAGTATATCTCATGCCAGAGGTTTAGTTTAGAAAAATAGTCAATATCGATTAAATACCACCATCATATAATAGTACTATGCTATTTATAAAAGTATGGTGCCCTTTCTTTATAATTTTATTTTATTTTTTTATAAATTTACTCATTTCACCACACAGGTTACCACTCCCGTACTGAGCGCGGGCTTATCCCTTAGTATTTATTTATAGATTAATACAGTATTAATTATCTATTAGTTATAAATCAACAAAATTATTTCTTATTTAGGTTACTGATGTTACAGGCTAGACTGTAATTACTATTCGTCCAGAAGCTTAACGACCATTCTTTGGATTTGTTTGGATTGTGTTTTATTTGGAATATTTTTACTGTAGCACTTTTTGTGATGTGATGTGTGTGAGATAAAAAGGTAATTGGAAATATAAAAAGGTGTATTGAAAATTGTAATAACGATGTAAGCAGATAAAATTGGAGAAATAAAAGACAATCCAAACAAACCATTTGGTTAATTGCCGTGAAAAAAGAATCTTCCTAATTCAACATGACAACAACGTCAGTCTATTTGCAGCTTGGAACATGAAATGGAGTTTTCACACCATATTATTCTTATTTTTCAAATGATCAAGTCTACCAGTCAAAAAAGTTGTGTCTCTATTTAATAATCATCCTTATTAGGGTGACCAAATTATTTTGAAAATGTCTTTACACACCAAAACAAACAAAAAACAAAAACAAAAAACGCGCGCGCGCGCGCGCACACAATGGTTGTTGACCTATCTGCATGTCGTTTCTAATAAAAAATATTTTTGATTTTCTACGGAACCAGAGGAATGTTTACTTGGTTGGCATCCCATTCACTTATCATTCCAATTTGATGAAATCTCTATTTAAATTGTTAACATTCAAGTTCCGTTCCTCTTTTTCACACTTAGCGGTGACCTTAAAATAATTTGACCAAAATGAAAATGCCTCGTCCAACTCCAAAGATGTACAATATTTATTGGTGCCTAAATAGTACAAAACACTAACTGGGATTTATTCTACCCGTTCCAAATTCCGATGGATTTAGCATGTCTTGCCGCTCATCCTGGACTGTAAATTCCATTATTGACAGAAAGAAAGTGCTTTCCCCGCGATCTTACAGGTAGAGCTGTTAATCAAGTTGAGTATTTGGCTACCGAGCTCGACTTGAGTTCGTTAGGAAAACGAGTTTTAAAATGTGTTCAAATTCGATTCGTTAAATGTATATGTGGCTCGAGCTCGACTCGTTTATCACAAACTAGTCGAGTTTCACGAGCTCGAACTCGAGCTCGTGCAAATTATTCTTAATAAAAATCTATAATTTTTAATTTTTATAATTTTAATTTTTAAAATGACAAATATACCCTTCATTAACGAGTTCTAACGAACTATTCGAGTATCAAACGAGCCTTAACTAAATGAGCATGTTTCGAGATCGAACTTGACTCGTTAACCAAAATTAATGAACCGAACTCAAGCCTTAACGAGTCGAGCTCTAACGAACTTTCGAACTACTCGATCGACTTAACAGTTCTACTTACAGGTCTTATGCAGCTCTTTTTTTTTTTTTTTTTTTTTTCTTTTCCGGGCCATGCTTTGCTGCCAGAAATTTCCGTGACACCTCATAGGGCTGCGAATTCAATACTGTCTGCCAACCCGGTCAACTGTGCTTCCGTACCTTTTCCCATTTGGAAACTTTTCTTAAATGTCCACCTCCTGGAAGGTGACGAAATGGCCACGTATACGCAGGGGCAAACGGGGCCGCCTCGTGTGTATTGTCATTTTTCTACAATTTTTTTTAACATATTTTTTTTAATTCTTTTTTTTTTTTTTATCTCCATGCATCAAAATTAATGCAGTATGTTTTTATATTAAAAGTTCAAAAAACTGCATTTCAAACGGACAATTTAGCAATATCATCATCTTTTATCTTATCTTTCCTCTTTTCTTTTGTAATCTGCCTCCCTCCTTTAAACTATCTATTTTGCTGGATGTTTTGAGAATGCTGTAATGAACTGAGGCTAATAAGTAATGGTTAATTAAAATATATGTTATCAGATCTTTTACTTACCAA